ATTCGAATTCGGTGGGCTTTCAGAATTGAAGCTATCGACAATTTGAGGAGACAGAAACATCGCGCAAAGGAACAGCAGGGGTTAAATCTATATTACCCTCAGCTCGTCCACCTCCACATCTCGTATTGTATGACGGCGGTGTACCATCTAGCTATACCCACAGCCATAGAATTCTAGAGCTGGAGAGCTAAGTTCCCCAACAAACGTTAACGCCAATGGCGATCAAAAGGCTAGTCTCGTGCTCAAAAGGCTTGCAGGTCGTTCGCCTGGATAGGCACAGAACAGCTCGCTAGCTACCTGTGAGATCTAGATCTCAAGAATAGAGTTAGCGAGGCTAGCCCTAAAAGATATAGCACAGTTCCCTTGGAATGTAGTCTCGTGCCCAGCCCCTCGAAGAGGTTGGAATGACGTGAATAGAATGAACTTAGTGGACAGGGTACGTCACAAATTCAAAGGAGTCCAAGATAAAGGCAAAAATGAAGTATCAGCCATGAAGTGTCTTGGAAAACATCAATCAACCATAGCACAGAATTCGAAGAATGGTATCGGTATATGCACCTCGTACATGCATTCTGCAACAGTATACCTAGCTTAGAATATATGGAATAATGAGGCAGTAGGAAAGTAAAGTTAAGAATTATGATATTATACATTTGTTTTTCAGCGCTAGCCGTGGGTAATTGTAAACCCATAATTAAACGTTAACCCATGGCAATATTAAAAAGGAAAAAGGTAAAAAAAGAAAATAGTTAGAGTTGCCGAGGTGATATCTTCCTCTTATTGAAAGAGATAAAGAAATATACTCGTTCCCAGATATGAGAACTCTGGGGGTAATGGCATTCAGAAACAGACATCATTAATAGAGAGAAACAATAAAAAGCTAATATAGCAAGCGGCTTGCAACTAAGATGAACGCCAACAATTCGATGGAAATAAGAGCCGTAAAATTTGAACCTCCATGACTGACGATTTTTGTGAAGTATTGAGGATTATGATGAAGGTTGCCGAGTCATTCTTCGTTCCCAGTAGGTGCCGAGACTGCAGAAGGTGTACCGTTAGGGCGTAGGTAGATTTTGTGAGTATTGTAGGAGTCCACCCTCCTAATGGCATAGGCCCCGAGGGCTCAATGGCACACCAAACTTCTACCCTGAAGGCGACAAGCCACATACATCAGTGGTGATTAAATTCTTCGATTAGCAGCCTCCTAATAAACCAAAGCTGGTTGGCCCCAAGCTGGAGAATCCACACGAGCTAACCCAGGAGGCTGTTTTCGAGAGGGCCTGATTCGCACCATGCTCCCTCGATTCGGGATGTTGCCTTGCTGATAGACTTCAAGCTGTGCTGATTAGGCCGGCTAGCTGTGGCCACTCGTGACATTTCGTACTAGTCAATTCGCATGAGTACTACTCGAATAGATGGTGCAGCGCAGTTCTTTGATATTTGAGCGAGTGTGGTGGAGATTTAGCTGCACGTATGCTAAGCTAAATGTCATGCTGAGATATTTGAGGAGAAGCCAGTAAGCCACAATTCTGTAATTGGGCAATTGAAATATTAGGTGCTGTGAGAGGAAGCGATTGATGATTATTGCAAGTTGTATTATAACACCTTGTTGGAGGTGCCTGATGGTTTTGTGGAATTATGGCGAGGAGTCTCTGATCACCGCTGGGGGAGGTGGTGTTGGAAGAGGAGTAGTACCACTGGGCACGGCGGCAGCCTCATTGCTTGGTACGACGCTGATTCCTTCTCCGGCGCTGATTCCTTCTCCGGCGCTGATTCCTTCTCCGGCGGTGTTGCCACTACTTCCAGTAACGACGCTGATTCCTTCTCCGGCGGTGTTGCCACTACTTCCAGTATTTGTGTTTGTCTCCATCACTGTTGAAAGCCTAGACCCTTCCTCAATCACCTTCTCGTATCCTGGGGGTGGCTCCTCATATCTCGGCAAGTCCAGGGCCTCGGTGCTACTTTCCTCAAACAACCTCCTTCCACCAATACCGCCCTGAACACCTCCAGCTGGCCTAGCCATTGCACCTCCCCGTAGGACTGCAGAAGGATGGGGCATGCCGCCCCGCCTTGTTCTCCCTCGCTCCAGATCAATTCCCCAGACACTTGGCGTACCGCCTTCATACTCTCTGTATCCCCTAGTGTTGGTGGCATTTGCAGCAGGTGAAATCTCCACGACAAGGTGATCGCCTTGGACCCATTGAACCGATTCTCCAGGTGAAGCTCCGGCAGGCCGTGGTCCTGAGCCCCGTGAATAAAAGAATGGGATCCGGATACGATCTGGGAAAGGGCGCTCTGTGTTGTTCACCGCCTGCCGTTGCATGGCCCGAAGCTTGTGGCGATGGAAGGCCCTGTGGAGGGTAACGACTGAAAACAGAACCACGAGAAAGACGATGAGTCTGCATCGCCCAAACCGAGTTAGCTTCCACGTTTTAGCCACATTCCCGCTGTAGGCTCAGACACATCTGGTTGTGATCGATCGCCTGGAAACTTGTCGCAAAGGGAAACACCCGAAGATCTGGAGTATGAAACTAAAAAGGAATAAACAGGCTACAAAGGGAAACTTACGCAATGACTATCTCCCGGGACATGCTATCGTCTTCCTCTGCCATGTTGCAGCCGATGGGACAAGATGCCCTTTGTTGGTACTGTGGTTGAAACTTGGCTTGAAGTATAGATGCCCGATGCTGGCTATACTGAATGAACGGCTTGGTGACTGCAAAAGAAGAGGCGTGGATGATCTGTGGAGACGGCAGAGGGAGAAGGGGAGGGGGCGTGTGAAGTAGGAGGGAGGGGATTATGCGGTGGATAAACCCGCCGCCCAGCTCCCGTGGCCACCGCCTCATTGCCACTGCCCGAACAAAATGGGACCTGACCTTTCCTGCTCGCGCAGGCAGGGCAACTGCGCCAAGCTCGCCCGCGAGCGCACCAGCCCGACCGGGCAAGCGTCCCACGCGAGCTCATTCGCTAGCTCGAAGCGGGCCTAGCGGGCTTAGGCTGCTGCCGAGACTACCTTCTGCGGGGCGAGAGATGCGCTTGCCCCCCCCGCACTTGCAGGAAGTGGAATACCAAGCGAGAAAAAAGATCGCAACTCGCCCCCCCTCGTGAAGCCTTTCTCGCCTGTTTTGTGTGCAAGGGTGATACTCTAGCTATAGGGCGGTAGCTAAAAGATGGGGGGGATAAGCTTCTTGCTACGTAAAGCTGTACAGTGATTCGGGTCCAAAGCTTGATAAGACCCCATGCGAGCTTGACGTAGCTTCCTCCACCATTTGAGAAAACTGTGGAGCGCAGAGTACGCTACAATCGCTGACATTGGATTGCACTGTTACACTGTGTTGACGTCCAGGCCATCGCTCGGATGATCATGAGCGGGAAAACATTTATATATACTCGGCACTATACGGTTTAATTGTGTTGGTTTTATCCTAGGACATACGTAGGCATTCCCGGCCTCGTACTGGACGAGGCCACCTCGAGCTCGTGACTTCCAATGGTCGAGGCTAAAAGCTTCCAATCGCCCCAGCTGAAAATATCACAATCTCAACCATGTGTATCTCAACTCAGCCTTGCCGTACTTAAGCTTTGTGCTCGGTATTTACCGCTTGACAGCTGTCTTCTACCTGAGCCTGGTTCTTCTAGAGTACCTCCAAATCTGCACAGTCCTATCTAGGAGCGCTCTCGAGGTATGTACCTGATATACACAAGAGTACCTTTTTACCTACCTAACCTAGTGTACAGCCGGAGAACATATTTCATGCACTCCTGAGGCCACAAACCCTTAAACGAACATCTTTACATTTCACACTACAGCTAGTTTTTCTTTTTCTTCTTTCCCTTCCCAAAGTCCCTTCTTTTCCTCGAGCTACTGAAACCTGCATATTCAAAGACTAATTCGAAGAGCGTTTTTTTCTTCTTCTTCTTCAAGCTTTCTGTTCTTTGCTTTTCTTTCTTTCCTTAATTACAGTCGTACGAAATGCGCTGCACATGTCATACGACACTCAACTTGGGCTGCAAAGAAAAAAAATCAAGTAGTACGAGTAGGTAGGAGGAAGATGAGGAGGAAGTACCCAGGTTATAGGGCACGAGAACAGTTACCAGGGATTAACATTGTTAGGTAGGGCGTCGACCAGTCGACCTCAAAGGTATGTATCATTTCAAACCAGAAATCTGCAAATCCTCTCTCGCACTAGTTCAGCCCCCTACTCTTCCTCTTCGAATTCCACTTTTCAATATTGCTCTCTTTCAAGCAATATCTCAGGATGCGCATGTGATACCTACATAACCTCTTATAGGTACTTCCTCGCGAGACCTGTACCCTCCCTCCTACTCACATATAAAGAAGTGCACTAGTTCTTGATCACGGAAGTCGGAAGGCAATTCCTTTTCCATGATACATAAGTTGTTACGTACTCTGCACCCTATGTAATTTTCTATAGTTTTCTTTCCTTTTTCCCTTTACGCACCCTTACTTAATGAGTCTCACTTGCAATTGCGCAAAACTCAAGATACTGATACCGCACCGCGCGCACCGTTCCCTTTGTAAAGCCTATACTATTTCGAGAACATGTCATATGACGTATGTACATTACATTACTTTCAGAAACAATAATGGCTTGGCGGATTCGGACCTTTGTGGATTGAAGTACGGATCCGGAGTGTAAGCACTGAATCAGCTCCAGCTCTTTGTATCTCGATCGCGAGGTTTTGGGCGTACGTGAGTCATGGATATGGGGTTCAACCAACGGGGAAACCGCGAACGCAACATGAGACTACGAACGCATGCATCACTTCTCCCATAATCCTCAAGAAGCTGCACTGCATATCCTCCGACGTCGAACCGTCACATTGCAGTTGGAGGGTAACGATAGCCTCGTCCCCAGGCGTTTTGGGGTAACGAGGCTAATCTAAATCTTCCAACCCCAAGAGCGTCGCATACTCGAGTACCTTGGAGGGTGGGAGGCTCATGTGTGGCAACTGCAACCGAAGTAACATCAAACCAAGTCAAGGTGCCGGAGTGGTTAACGGGTTCGCCTGCTATCTTTCAGAAACAGTTGTTTCCGAAATACAGTTCAGCGGATGTCTTCGGACGCGCAGGTTCGAATCCTGTCCTTGACGCATTTCGTTTTTGCCTTTTTTTTTGTTGATTTTTTAACCAAGCTTCTCGATTTATTTTTGTTTGAAAGCTTAAGGGAGAAGGTAGCACTTTGGCTGCTCCCAATCGATTTCGCGATATACAAAGCTGGATCCAATAACTGCATGAGTGTGTGCGCGAGAGTGGTGGGGATATCTGGGTAGATATAGCGATAATATATCGAATTCGAACAATGGATCGCGATGAGTGCAGGACGTGGGGTTTTGGCGGATTTCCGAATTCGGGAGTTGGCGAGTATGGTGCGACTGCGAACTGCGATTCACTGCTAAAACAACAGTCCTCGTCACGGCATTCTTCTTCAACTCGAACATCAGAAGCAGCAACAGCACGAAGGCTAGTACCAGTGCCAGTTCCAGTACTGCAACAATTACAGCAGCAGCAGCAACTACAAGTCCGAGGAAAAGCAGTCTGGGCGTGAGCAGGCGGGGCAGTAGGGCCGCTCGGGACGATGAAGAAGTCTCTTCCGTGTCGAGTCTCTCGACGCTCGACGAGTCGCCGAGGAGCACGTTGCATTTGATGGAGCTTGGGGAGGAGGGCCAACGGTGGTCACAGATTCTAGCCTCAGGAGTGCAACACGATGGGCATGTTTTGCAAGGTGGTGGTGTGCAAAAAGGGGAACGAGTACAGCAAAAAGGCATAGGTGGGTGGCCTCGGCAAGGGGTTTGGTATTAAGACAATCATGGAATTCTTGGGGACGGTGGCGGCAGAAACTGGCAGCAGACGGCCACGGATGAAGATGGTATACAGCGCGCAAACCCGAGGGTGGTGGAGAGTGGAAGCAGGTATCTTGTGCCGGCCTTCGGGCATGGAGGGGGATACGTGAGTATCAATAAAGAGGAGTCAATGTTTACACAAACAGGTATAGTTAGCTACCTTCCCTTATCCTCTCCGATTGCAAGAAACCCCATATCCGGATTATTTAGAAATAAGGGCAGGTACTGAGTTAGAGTCATCTATTTGTAGAATTATCGCCGCAGGAGCCGCCAACGCCATAGCCATATGCAGAATCTCGAACGGGGAGGAGACACTGGACGCCAATTTCCACGCGCCCAATATTTCCTGTTTGTCTGATCGCATGGACAGTTGCGTTGATTGTGGTGGTGGAGACTCTACTGCGGATATCCAAGAGGGATTTGGGGCTGGCGGATTCAAATGGTCGAGATGAGGATTCGATTGGGTTTACGTTTGTCCATAGATATTGACCCATTATTGTTGCAGTGTGCTACACGCAAGTTTAGGTAAGTAATTGGATTTCACCATCACCTCTCTCCTTTTTTTCATTTCGTACAAATTTTGACGTAAATTTCCACAGTAATGTAGGGCAACTCACTATCAACATTGACCAAACAGAACCTTTTGTCCGCCTATCAAAGCCTGAAGGGGCGACCGGCGCTTCAGCCCTCTTCAACACATTCAACATCTTCACCTCACCCTATAAAGCTCTACTTCAAAGAAACTGGATAGTTTTCTTCTCAACCCCAAGATATATTCTCGCAATGTTGGTCGTCCCTCCTCTCCAAGGCATAATCTCCTCAATTGTATACGTGAATCGGGGGGAAGATGTCACATTCTCAAGATTCCCGGCATTCGGGGAGGATAATAAATTGCTATTCCCGTATGAGGATTGATCTCCCTCATCTGAGAATCCAGACAATGTTGTCGTTTGGGAGGGGGAAATTGACAAGCTCTTGGATGACGGGAGGTGGGTTTGCGGTTCTGCCGGTATAGCTGGCTGGCCAAGGGAACGGAAATGCAAACGAGAACGACAAGTTGTCGGAGAAATGGGAATTCAAGAGCCGGGTTTTCAAGATGGATTTGGAGTGTATGGAGTGGACATCTTCCATGATTTACCGATCCTTATGTGGGGATATTGGTGGGATTGGATCAAACAATACTGGAAGCCAGGCCTGTAGAAGCAACGAAATGATATATGTTGCTTCTTACACCCCCCAGATAGACGGCGTTATTGGGCGGTGTGGTGCCGACGGGGAATGCTGCGGCGGTGCAGTATCCGTCTGCTGTAATGGGGTGGGTGACGGTGAAGGCGGTCAGGAGAGGGGCATTTGTGCTTGCTGTAAGTGACCATTTATATCTCATTATGTGATTGTTTTTTTATTTTTGTGGGGGGGAATGGGGGGGGGCTTTGATAACTGATCAAGTACTTTAGTTTATCACATCCATATCTCTCTTATTAATGGAGCACTTGACAGTCTCTTTAAGTAGTTGTTTGATATAGAACTAGTCACAGTCTCGAAGCCGGTTGAGGCCCTGAAGGGATAGAGTACTAGTGTCAGTATCCAAATTATCCCGGGGGGGGATCTATACTTTGAGACTCTGAACCGCCAAGCGGAAAATCACTACTTTCTTAGCTTGATCTTCTTTGCGGCGTTTAACAATACAATATAATCACATAAACTCCGTGGCCCAAAGATGAGTTTGCGTTTGCGCCTGTCCGGCTGGTCGGGGTGGATGGGTTCGGGAGTAGTGGGAGTGGTAGTGGAAGTGGGGAATTGAAAGTCACGACAACAGATGTCCGTGCTTCTCTCAATTGTGAACGACTCGAGATCCTCGAGGCGGTAGTTCGGAAGATCGATTTCACCGTCAAGCAGAACACAGCGCCTGGCCTAGACCGCAGAACTGGATCCCCTACCCCACCCGACACAAAAGAATCTCTCGAGACTGCATTCGGCCAGGACTCTGCGTGGATCCGTCCCCGATCGCTTTGGGACACAATACATGAACCCCCACCGACGGGGCGAGGTTCTACCCGCCCAAAAACAACCAGGATCTAGCTCCAGGCTTTTAAATTTGCAATTAATATTGGAATCGGCAGGATTTTTGTAAAAAAAAAAGTCATGTTTGCAATAAATTGTATAGCCTTGATTTAAAGTTTCAATTGCATCACTTTGTTGGGAATTCACGGCAATGATTTTAGTTTGCGCAAGATCTACATCAATTTTACGGGAATTATCTCCCCCTCTTTATCGATCCTCGTGCACGTGCGTACTGCTTCCAGGCCTTTAAATTGTACAATCGTCTTATAACTACCTACTTATTTACATGTCATATAGGCCTTTAGCTCAGCACATGCGCGTCTCACCAGCTGTGTCTAGACCGTCACTAAAACAAAATATTAAAATATCAAAATTTCAAAAATCTAATAGAATTCGAACATATATAGAAAAATTCAAGTGCCCTCCAGCAACCCAAAATCGCATTAGGCAACTACGACTACCACATTAGGTATAGCCCCCCCCCCCCCCCCCAACTCTGCCAAGCCCGCACGCACGCACGCACGCACAATGTTTATTGAGGTAAATAAACTTTATTTATTTATTTTTTTCTATTGAGCGTACTTAGGTAAGCGTGAGCATATTCTGCGGGTGGGGTGGGGTGGGGTGGGTGGGGTGGGTGGGTATATAAACCCCCCCTTCTCCCCCCTCTCTCCTCTTCCTTCTTCTTCTTCTTCTTCTTTCTCCAACTCCAACGGAATGAGAAAATGAGAATACCTCCAACAATTGATTACAACGAAAGACTGAAGGGCAAAAGGCAAAGGCAAGGCAGCCTCCGAGGCCGCCCGGTTAAACAACCAAAGCAGTGCGTCGAGTATACTCAACACCGTGGTATCGAAAAAGTCCCAGAGGGGTTGCCAACGATCCAAGGCCAGCGAGTCTGTCTTTCATCCAAAGCCAAAGCCAAAGGAATGAACAAAGACGAAACCAGACAGAGAGGGCAACCAGATGGCTCTCCAACGACCGCGCGCGTGGCTCCCAGGAAGCAATCGTCATCATCATGCTGGCCCAGTGCCAGGAGGAAGAGATCATTGAATCTCAGAATACTCTTTTGTGGGGGGTGGTCGTGGGCCGTGAATCCTCCATCACTTGGAGGAGAAGGAAAGGATCCAGAAGGAAGATAAGCTTATAAGCTGATTATCATGTGGATGTGATGGCAATGCAACAGGCCAGAGACTAAGTCGGCAGAAAAAAAGGGCCGAGTCCAGAAACCTGCATTTGAGATGATCATCAATGTTATGGCCCGGTGTCGTCCTCCCGTGCGTGCTATCTGCTGGCGGGGGCCGGTGCCTTGGGGCTCACATATCCCATCCGGCTGCAGCAAGCAAAGACCATCATGCAAGACCGTCCAACGCTGTCATGCACATGACGCTCTTCAACCTCAGCTCCTCCGAGGCCCGCATGCGCGCGCTTCTTCGACCAGGTCGTCAAGGCCGTTGTCACCATGTGGCAAAGCTCCCCCCAGAAAGGGCAAAGCTGCAGCCAAAAAACAGGGCGGGGATCAGTATACGAGGCCAAAAACCAAAAGGAAGGCATGGAGGCGAGGACTATAGTCCGAACAACCGCGTGTGCATCAAATCTCGACCAGGAAGGGAAGGATTTCGGGAATTGAGGTCTGCAAGGGGAACGAGAGCAGCCCATCCCTCTCGGCGTCCTCTATACCTGTATCCTGCCGTATCGTATCTGTGAAAGAGCATTCGCCAGTTCAGGAAAAAAGGATTTCCACTCGGGCGGTGCGTGGATTGGCCCGACCAAAAGAGTGCCAGCAATAACGCACTAGGAGTATTTTGCGGGTGCCCTTTGGCTGGCTGATTTCCCTAGCTGTGGCATGGCTGATACGGTATACGAAGTGGACAAGGCCATGACTATTGCCGGCTGCAATGGACGACAACGAGGGGCATGACGAGGAGGCCGGGCTTCTGACCCTGTGGGTCACCCCGGCGGCGCGGTTTCCGCGTGTCATCCGCCATCGGCAAGGGCGAGTCCCAGTCCTACCTGAACAGCCTGGCGGTGGCCTTGGGGCGCGCACTGGGTTCATTGTTCTGTTTTTCTTTTGGGTTGTGTGGACGGAGCTATGCAAGTACCGGGCAGGGGAGAAGAGAAAGTGGAAGGCCGATGAACCCGAGCGGAAGAATGAAGCGGAATATGAAGAAGCTGGAAAGGGCGCGGAA